ATGAACCTTAAAGAACAGGAGGCCAAGTAACCTGTTATTACATCAATGTCTTGAACTCCTTCCACAAATGCAGCTTTCAACCTGGCTATACCTTATGTCTTACCTTATAATTTGGGTCTTTCCTAAGTCTCAAAGAGGCACAGTGAAATCACACAGTATGAAGAGACAAGATTTGAACTCAGGTCTGCCCGACTCCAAGACCAATATGCTACCTAGTATGAAATGCTGCCTTCTCTAATCTTTATTTTTTGGGCTGTGATTCCACTGAGATGTGAAATATGCATATGGTATATCTCTGCACAGTGAGAAGTCTCCCTTTACCCACCCCCACCCCCCTTGTACTCTCATCACCTACTCTTTGACTTAGAACCCTAGAGAGTTGTAGGGGAACTAAGAGGTTAAGAGACTTGTCTAGGGTGACATAATGAGTAAATGTCAGAGACAGAATTTGAACTCAGTTCTTCCTGACACCAAGTTAAATACATTATACACTAGATCATGCTGCCTACTCTGATTTTGCTTGGACTACAACTGTGATTTCATGAGTATATGAAATACAGTATATGATCTATCTCCACACAATGAAAAGCCTTCCTCTACAAATGCAAATCACCACCTACTTTGCAACTCAAAGCTTTATTGTGCTGTTTGTGGGCACTAAAAGGTTAAGTGACTTGCCTAGATCCCACAGCCAGAGGCAATATTTTAATCCAGGTCTTTTTGTGTTACTGTGTGGCTGACATTTAGTAAGCTCTTAATAAATGATTTTTCATTCATTCATTCATTCATTATTCATTCATTCATTCATTCATTGATCCAGAGGTCAACTCTTTATCAACAATGCCATTGCTACCTGTCTCCTCTAATTATGCCTACTACTGTCTTTTTATGTCACTATTTCCAATTGTGGGCTTTTTTTTTACATGTTATCCCTTTGTATTTAAAGAATGGATAACACCATCAATACATTTGTGAATACATTTCTTCTGCTGCTAATACAAATAGGATGAAGAGAAGTACAGATTCATAGAATCCTAGCTTGGAAAAGTACCACAAAGGTTATCATGTCCAAAATGTTTCTAAGCAGGAACCTTAACATTCTCATGCCAGTGACTTTAAAAGGAATTTTTGGAACCTTACCTATTCAAATATTAAGGATTTTCTCCCCATTTAGAATGTGAGATCTCTTAAAGCCAGGGATTGTATTTTTTATAGTAAGTGCTTATTGAGTGCCATTACAACATGATACTGGTGAGGAACCCTTCGTGAAAAAACAAGAAAGGTCAGGTCTCTCAGAATACATGTTACAGAGGCATTTTAAACTATGATCTCTATTTTTAACCTAATTTTTCCTTTACTATGGATAAATGCAATTAATATTGGGGGGTGGGAAAGGAGAACCAAGGTTAATTTCTTTCTACAAGTGAAATGATTTGATTTTTGACATTTTCAAATAAAAGGAATGTCTGCAAATGAATTTATTGTAAAATTAAACTATAAAGCTTAAAGGATCCTAGATTTAAAGATAGAAAGGACCTCATAGATCACCTAGTACAACCCCACTTTTAAACAGATGAAGAAACTAAAGTCTAAGGAGGTTAAGTGAATTATTGAATATTACATTAGAAGTAAATAGCTAAGCTGGAATTTGAACCCAGGTTATCTGATCCAAAATCCAGCACTCTTTCAACTGTACTACAATGCTTCCATGATTAAAAGGGAGGCATCTCTGTCATGGAAAAAGTGTATATATTTGCATATGTGTACATATATATGTATACGTATGCATAAACATATATACATACATACAGAGAGAGAAAGAGAGAGAGTCATATAGTGACTGAATCACAGATTTAGAACTGAAAAGGACTTCACAAGTCATCTCTACCATCTCATTTTATAAATGAAGAAACAGGCTCGGAGACGTTAATTGATTTGCCCAAGGTCACATAGGTAGTTTGCAACAGAAATGGGGTTAAAACCCAGGCCCTCTGGAGACAGCTAGGTAGTGCAGTAGATAGAGTGCTGGACCTGAAGTCAGGAAGATTCATCTGGCCTCAGACACTTACTAGTTGTGTGACCCTGGGCCAATCACTTAACCCTGTTTGCCATAGTTCTTCATCTGTAAAAATGAGCTGGAGAGGGAAAAGGAAAATCACTCCAGTATCTTTGCTAAGAAAACTCCAAATGGGGTTACAAAGAGTTGGATACAACTCAAATGACTGAACAACAACAATCTCTGACTCTAAATCCAGCATTCTTTCCACTGTATCATGCTATTCACATGATCAAAATGAAGTGAGAGGAAATCTTATTATAAGAAGGTAATTTGTAAATTATACATGTGACCCTGAGAAAGCCATTTCTAGGTACTTCATTTTACTCAAACTCAAAGTAAGGTAGTAGAAAATGAGTATATTTGCCAAAGTGCCTAGTATTATGGTGAGGAACTTTTTTGATGCTTTGTCATCTGACCTGAATGAAAATTCTCTGTGCTCCTATTACTAAATATATGAAGTGTAGTCTTCCAATAATCACTCTTCTTAGCCTGAGTGACTAATGGTTTATGCCAGATAAATAGTGAAAAATGCTCTTACAAAGAAATCAATCTGCTATTTCTATGTAGGGTCAAGAAATTTTTCCCTCAGTGTTCTTTGTATTTTGGTAGAAGATAAAGCATTAAAGGAATGAATCCTTGAGGGTGGAATTTCAGGAATCAACAGGCAAAGTAAGGGAGATTTTCTTTTTATCATTGATCTTTCCAATGAACCTGAAGTCATGACATGTATCCAACTACCTCTTTTACCCATTTGATGTACTAACAATCAACTCAGTTTATATGGGTTATTGCATATAACTAATAATAACAACTACCAAAACTTCCAAAATCATCACTTTAGCCAACAGTTCAACCCCCTCTTCCACTAAACTTTTTTTTTTTGGTGAGGCAATCGGGGTTAAGTGACTTGCCCAGGATCACACAGCTAGTTAAGTGTCAAGTGTCTGAGGTCAAATTTGAACTCAGGTCCTCCTGACTCCAAGGCTAGGGCTCTATTCTCTGAGCCACTTAGCTGCCCCTTCCACTGAACTTTTTAGCAGACTCAAGGACAGGGCAAGAAAAAAGATGGATTTGAGTTAAATGATTTTTCTTGTCTTGTTCCAACTTTTGGTGGAGTTATTCCTAATTGATGAAATAGACACAAACAGGATGAGGCAGAGAAAATAGAAAATATAAGAGGACAGCAAAATAAGTGAGGAGAAACAAGGAACCTATATGACATCTTCTTAATAATAATTGTTGAAAATGACTGAATTAGATAACAGGTTACATACAACAAGATTCCTTCTATTCATTACTAATTCTCAAAACCTTCCCAAAAGAAGAATTGTGTGCTAGAGGTAGAGTAAATAGAGCTGAATCCACTGAATAAGAAAGCAAGAAGTAACAAAGTAACAGCCTTATGAATTGACACTGGAAATACTAACCTTTAAATGTATTCACTCAGTATCCCTCTCTCACCAACTTCCATACTCTGACAGGGCACACAAATTGATGCACAAGCTTTCCCATACAGGGATTCCTATCCTGCTGCAAAAGCTCTTATATGTCACATTGCTTTTATGCCCCCTGCCCTGTTGCAGAAAGCAACCTTCCCTGATTCTACCTAGATATGTGAGTAAGTGAGGAGTATGAGAGGAGAGCTGAGGAGGGGAGATTGAAATTTTCTTCTTCATGGAGCCCTGAGGTTACAGAGATTCTGCCCAAACCCCTCAACCCACCCCCCTCAACCTTGAAAAAGGGGGAAAGTTGATTTAGCCTAGCCAGACAAGGAAAGAATGAGAACAAAAGATGAAACTGGAGAAATGATTCTGTGTGATGACCTATACTGGACCTGAAGGAAAGGAGACTCAAATAAATCTGGGTTCATTCTTTTCTCCCCAGAAACTACTTAGGGCAAGGATAGAATCTCATGAAAAGTGAATTTCTCAGTGTGGAAAGAGGTTGAGACATCTTTGTGGGTCAGCTCCAGGGGAATATGCATCATCAAAGAAGTTAGGCATTGGATCACAGGAGAACACAGAAGATTTCATGGGGCAAATAATTCAATTAAAGACTCTGAATACAAATTAATAAAATACTAAATGTAAATAAAGAAAATACTAAAATTAGAAGGATAAGTATTAAAACATCAAAACATTACAAACATATCTTAAGTACTACAAGATAAAATAAATTGAACCAAATGTGTGATTAGACAAAGAACCCTATAGAGTCCTAAAAGCACACAGAGTCATAGTTTCAAGTGTTTCAAAACAGTAATTAAAAGCACAAAAGAAAAGGGTAGAAGAGAACAAATGTCAGAACTTATGGCCTGCATAGAAGAAATAATTATCAGAGTAAAAAAAAAAACCTGAATCATAGTGACAAGTCTCTCCAAAGCAGCAAAAGAGAATAATTATTTAAAAAACAGATATACTGATGTGAAGGACAATCTGGGAAAATGGAAGCATATGGCAGTAACAGTTAAAGAATACATGATTTCTATTGAAAAAAGCCCATTGATTTTGAAGATGGAATGCACAAAGATAATTATTGAGGAATACAGGTCTCTCAGAAAAACATGACAGACTGAAAAAGCTGAATGCCATAAGTGCACAAAAAAAACATGAAAACAACCCAGAACTTCTTAATACAGAAAAAAAACCCCCTACCAATCTTAAGAATTTCTAGATTGCCTCTAGGGCACAAACCCTATGCTTCACACTCCAGGACAAATAGTAGTTAAATTTAAAATTTTCAATGATACAAAGAAAAATTTTACAAGTAACCAGGAATAAAACTTCAAATACAAAGGAAAGGAATTTTTAATAATAAAAATCTATTCTGAACTCACTAGAAAATGAAGAAGGAAGTGTAATATCTTCCAAAAAGCAAAGGAGTTCAAGATGCTACACAAAAGGAAATACCCTAGCAGTCTGAACCTACTCATCAATGAAAATCAAGAGACATTTAATAAAGCACAAGCAGCTGAGGCATTTCTGCAAAAACAAAACATAACAAACCTAGACGTGGACAAGATATTTGACTTGCAAACACTCCCCCAAACAGAAGCACAATAAGGTAAGTAAGTACATTACCAAGGAAAGAGTAAGTAATGAATTAGATAATCCCATCTCTGGAAATTATTTAGAAACAAAACCCAGAAACACTGACCTAGACAGTTTAAAAAATAGAGGGACTATTAGGAAATTTTCTTTTAAAAGTACACAAGGGGATAAATACGAAAGTAGAATTTAAAGAAATAGTTTAAGTTAAACAGTGGAAGAGAAGACTTTACATACCATGGACTAAACTCCATAATGATCCTACAGGTGAACAAATGCATTGTGTTGGACAAAACTGAAGAATGAGTGGATACATAAATGGGGAAAGGAGAGGTAGAAGAAAGAGAGAAAGGTATGATATACCCTAATCAAATCTATGTGTGAATGGAAGATAATTCCTATTGTTTCTCAGTAAGAAGAAGGGTTAAAGGAGAATAAGAGAGGAGGTAGAAAGGAGAAATTGAAACAAGGGAATTTCCCATACTTAATACAGAACCTAGAATACAGTAAGCACTTAATAAATGCTTATTGACTGACTGAAAGGGGATGGAATCCCCTTTAATCAGGTTTAATCTTTAAACCTGAAAGGGGATGGAATCCTATTAAAGAGCACTCTTGCAGAAGAAGAGGCTTCTATAATGGGAAATGTGGCCTTATAATGGGTGTAATCTCATATTAGTTGTTACACAGGTACAATACTTCCTCTGCAGACATCGTGCTCCTCCACAGATAACATCCTGCCTCAGGAAAAGATAATTTAAAGCTCTGGGGGCAACAGACACCCAGAAGAGCAGAAGGGAGGACATGGATCCATAGATGAGGTTGCATGGAAAATGTCAAGGAGAATGATTGTTGGGAGGTCAAGGAGTAAAATTGGACCACATGATTTGGAACACTAGGTGATGTTTCTAGCCTCATTATTTCTCTCATGAATTGATTCTAAGAATGAGGCATTGCAGAAAAAAAGGGATAATGGGGCAAGATGTAAAAAGACAATAATGTAGAAATTGGTTTGAAGGTGAATTTATAACTATTAGAAAAAATAAAAATATTATCAGAACCTACTGTGCACAGTTATACATCAATAAAACTGAGAATATAAAACAATTAAAGGAAGCCCTTCAAAAATATAAAATACTTAAAACTAATAGAACAACAAATAGGTATCTTAAATAAACCAATCTCAGAAAAGAAGACCAAAGGAGAAAACTCCTTATACCAATAGTTGACAGAAGAATTCTATTAGACTTTTAAACATGAATAATTATAATACCCAAATTATTCTAAAATACTGAGAAAGTATGCCATCAAACTGCTTTTAAGAGATGAATATTCCAAATATCTAAACCAGGAAAAGGATAAAACATGAGCCTGGCATGCTCTCTCTCCTCATCTCTGCCTCTCTGGCTTCCTTGGCTTCCTTTAGGTCCCAGCTAAAATCCTACCTTCTACAAGAAGCCTTTACTCATCTCTCTTAATTCTTGTGTCTTCCCTCTACTGATTATTTCCAACTTATCTTATGTATAGTCAATCTGTACATAGTTGCCTCCCCTCATTAGACTCTGAGTTATGTGAGAGCAGAGTCTGTCTTTTACATTTTTTTTGGTATCCCCAGAGCTTAGCACAGTGCCTTGTTGGTCCTTAATACATGTTCGCTGACTGACTGACTGGCATATTTGGAGAACTATATACCAATATCATTAATGAATATTTCTTCCAAAACTTTAAATAAAAATCTTGGCAAAAAGACTATAGCAATTTATCATTAATAAAAGCATTCATTATGACTAAATTCAATTTTTACCAGGGATACAAGTTGAACATTAGAGAAATAATTAACTTAGTCATATTTTAAAACAAACCAAAAAAAATCTGAAATGATATGATTATTTCATTAGATGTAGGAAAACCTTTGATAAAGTATAATACTCATTTATGCTTTAAAAACCCTATAAAGTATAGACATAGAAGAATCTTATTATAAAAAAAGTATCCAAAACCAAAGCAAGCATTATGTGCAATGGAGATACAGTAGAAGCTTTCCTAATAAATACAGAAGTAAAGTAAGGATGCTCCCTTTCCCTAATATTATTTTATATCATTCTAGAAATGTTACCAATAGAAATAAGAAAAGAGAAAGAAATTAAAGGCATAATGATAGGCAAAATGATCCCTATTTGCTAATGGCATAATAGTTTACATAGAAAATCCAAGGGAATTCTCAAAGTAACTGAGAGAATAGTTTCAGCAAAGTTGTAGTCTACAGGACAAACCCATAAAAATAAATTCCATGTTTATATAATAATAACAAAATCCAGAGGCAAAAATAGAGAAGTCATCTTCAAACTAACTATAAAATTCATAAAATACTTGGGAATCAAGCCACCACAGGACATTCAGTGTCTGTTTGGATTCAATTACAAAATGCTTCTTTTAAAAAATTACTTCAATAGTGGAGAAATATTTAGCACGCATAGTTGGTTCTTGCAAATATGATAAAATGACAATATTACCAAAGTTAATTTAAATATTTAGTACTATACCAATCAACCTATCAAAAGGATGCTTTATAGAGCTAGATAAAATAGCCACAAAATTCATTTGAATTAATAAAAGAACTATAACATCAAGGGAATAATAAAAAAAAGTAGGAATAAAGGGAAAATAATCCTTCCAGACTCTAAACTATATTATAAAGCAGCAGTCATCAAAGCCATGTAGTATTTATTTTTTTAAAAAAATAGTTGAGGAAATGGAATACTATTGTGCTATAAGAAATGACGAACAGGCTGACTTCAGAAAAACCTGGAAAGACTTGTATGATCTGATGCTGCGTGAAGTGAGCAGAATCAAGAAAAGGTTGTACACAATAACAACCATGTTGTGTCATGACTAATACTGATAAACTTAACCCTTCCCAGCAGTACAAGGATCTAAGACATTTCTAAAGGCCTTGTGATGGAAAATGCTATCCACATCCAAAGAAAGAACTGTGGAATTTGAATGTAGATTGAAGTATACTATTTGCTATTTTCCCCCTGTCTTCTGTTGAGTTTTGTTTCCTCTTTCTGGTGGTTCCTCCTATTAGTTCTAATTCTTACTTACAACATCACTAATGTGAAAATATGTTTAATAGGAAGGTATATGTATAGCCTATGTCAGATTGTGCACCATCTTGGGGAGGGTGGTGGGGAGGAAGGAGGAGAAAAATTTTAAACTTAAAAGCATATGGAAGTGATTGTTGATAAATCAAAATAGATTAATTAAAAAAAGAAATTAAAAAAAGAAAAAAGAAAAAAAAGAATTGAGGAAAGGAATACAGTACACAAAGGAGAATTAAAAATAAAAGAAATCAATATTTTAGTGTTTAATAGATCCTATAACATAAATTACCCAGGAAGGGTTTCCCTAATTTGATAAAGACTTCTAGGGAAAATGAAAAGCAATCTGGTAGAAATTAGGTTTAGGCCACTATCTTAAGCATATTTCACAATAAATTAAAAATAGATACATGACCTGAATACTGAAAATCATAAAAATTAGAAAAGAAACAGATCATATACTTTTCACATCTATGCATTTATGAGTAAGGGATGAATTATTTTTTATTAATTAATTTATTTTTAGTTTTCAACAATTATTTCCATAAGCTTTTCTTTTTCTTTCCTTTTTTTTTTGGAGTCATTTGGGGTTAAGTGACTTGCCCAGGGTCACACAGCTAGTAAGTGTCAAGTGTTTGGTCTGAGACCAGATTTGAACTCAGATACTCCTGACTTCAAGGGCCAGTGCTGTATCCACTGCGCCACCTAGCTGCCTCCTCCATAAGCTTTTGAGTTTTAAATTTTCTCCCTCTCACTCTTGGCCTTCCCAAAATGGCATGCAATCTGATATAGGCTCTACATATACATTTCTATTAAACATATTTTCATATTAGTCATGTTGTAAAGAAGAATTAGAACCAATTGGAAGAACCACAAGAAAGAAGAAACAGAAGAAAAAAAGAGAACAAATAGTATGCTTCAATCTGCATTCAAACTCCATAGTTCTTTCTCCAAACATGGATAGCATTTTCCATCAGGAGACTTTTAGAGATATCTTAGATACTTGAATTGCTGAGAAAAGCTAAGTCTATCAAAGTTAGTCACTGCACAAGGTGGCTGTTACTGTGTACAATGTTCTCCTAGTTTTGCTCACTTCACTCACCATCAGTTCATACAAGTCTTTCCAGGTTTTTCTGAAGTTAGCTTGCTCATCACTTCTTATAGCACAATAGTATTCCATTACATTCATATACCACAACTTGTTCAGTCATTCCCCAATTGATGGGCATCCTCTCAATTTCCAGTTCTTTGCCACCACAGAAAGAGCTGCTATAAATATTTTTGTACATGTGAGTCCTTTTCCCATTTTTATGATCTCTTTGGGATATAGCCCTAGAAGTGCTATTCCTGGGTCAAAAGGATTTGGGCATAGTTCCCAATTGCTCTCCAAAATGGTTGGATTAGTTTACAACTCCACCAACAATGCAATAGTGTTCCAATTTTCCCACATCTTCTCCAACATGTATCATTTTCCTGTTTTGTCACGTTAGCCAATCTGATAGGTGTGATGTGGTTATCTCAGAGTTGTTTTGATTTGCATTTCTCTAATCAATAGTGATTTACAGCATTTTTCATATGACTATAGGTAGCTTTAATTTCTTCCTCTGAAAACTGCCTGTTCATATCCTTTGACCATTTAACAATTGGAGAATGACTTGTATTCTTATCAATTTGACTTAGTTCTCTATATATTTTAGAAATGAGGCCCTTATCAGAGACACTGGTTGTAAAAATTCTTTCCTAGTTTTCTGCTTCCCTCTTGGTTTCATTGGCTTTGTTTGTACAAAAACTTTTCAATTTAATGTAGTCAAAATTGTCCATTTTGCATTTCATAATGTTCTCTAACTTTTGTTTGGTCATAAATTGTTCTGTTCTCCATAAATCTGACAGGTAAACTATTTTTTGCTCTCCTAGTTTGCTTGTAGTATCACCCTTTATATCTAAATCATGAACCCATTTTGACTTTATTTTGGTATATGGTGTAAGATTTTGGTCTATGCCTAGTTTCTGCCATACCCCTTTTCCAGTTTTCTCACCAGTTTTTGTCAAATATTAAGTTCTTAACCCAGAAGCTGGGGTCTTTGGGTTTATCAAACTGTAGATTACTATAGTTATTGACTACTGTCTTGCATACCTAATCTATTCCACCGATCCACCACTCTATTTCTTAGCTGTTACCAAGTAGTTTTGATGATTGCTGCTTTATAATAGAATTTAATATCTGGAATGGCTAGGCCACCTTCCCTAGCAT